CACTGCGCCACCTCGGCTCTCATTTTACCCACCTCGGAAGGATCTAGCAGTAGCCTGCAGTGCTGCATTTAACCACTGCGCCACCTCGGCTCTCATTTTACCCACCTCGGAAGGATCTAGCAGTAGCCTGCAGTGCTGCATTTAACCACTGCGCCACCTCGGCTCTCATTTTACCCACCTCGGAAGGATCTAGCAGTAGCCTGCAGTGCTGCATTTAACCACTGCGCCACCTCGGTCCTCATTTCACCCACCTCGGAAGGATGGAAGGCTGAGTCAACCTTGAGCCGGTGAGATTAGAACCGCTGAACTGCAGATAACAGTCAGCTGAAGTGACCTGCAGTACTGCACCCTAACCACTGCGCCACCTCTTTTAGGGGAAAGAGATCGCTTTCATCTGTTTGTATATGAAATAGGATTATGGTATACTTCTGAAGGACAGGGAACACCAGTTGTTTTTTTTTTAAAGACAAGAATCAGTATGCAAAGTCTCTCAAGATGCAGTTACATTTATAATACAATTTTGTAGAAACTTCATGACCGTTTTCTTGATAGTTTATTAGGTTCAATAACAGATTTAAAAAACCCACCACTGCCAGCGCTAATGCTCTCTTTTGCAAGAAATGTGGGGAAATAATGACTGTACACTTGCACAAAGTGAAGTGCAGATTATCCTTAAATATATTTTTGGAGGGAGAAAAGAGGGGAAAGGGGCTCCTGCTCTAAGAAAAGCCATTACTGAATTTTCTTTTTGTACAATTTTGAAACAAATGGATGGATTCCTCATGAGAAATGCAGCTGACATGTTGATTAATAAGATTAACTGACTCCAAAGAGTAACAAATAAAAAGAGTTCTCAGTTGCTCAGAAGTTTCACTATGTTACCCTTTATAATTGACTTAAGGAGAGCAGGAAAAATCATTCATTGTCAAAGTCAGTTAAAAATGAACTACTGTTCATCTGAATTAGCAAAGCGATCAGGTTTTCAGCAAATAACTAGATCAATATCTATGTGACAGGCTACAGTACTGAAGAATGCCAATAGTTTGGAATTAATTACAAGTTTCTTTTTCTGATGCTTCAAGATCACATTTATTGCCACTGGCAGAACAAAATAGGTCCATTGTGTTATTTGGAACCATTGATTTGCCTTTCCATTATAAACCAAGGCATCGCCTTGCATTTAAGATATTTCCAGCTGGGTTATTTCCAGTGCTACCAGGTGATACACATTATGCAATTAACATGTCCTTTTTGCTCTTAACAAATGGGTAGCTGGAGGTTCATTGTCCTCTTTTGTTCTCTTTATTTCTAGTGCTTGTTGGTGAAAGTTGGAAGAATGAGTAGGAAAACATGGGCGAACTACAAGTGGAACATCATCAGGACTGCCAAGAAAATTCCATGACACAGAACAGTTGCATAACTTTCATTGTGCAATGGTCTGTACCATGGATTTTTATTTATTTCATTAGATTTATTTTACATATCAGCATTTTGGCTGGGGAATTCTAGAAGTTGAAGTCCAGAGATCTTAAAGTTGTGATCCATATCGACAATAGGTGGACCTTTAATAAAGAGAATTCTAATGAGAAATGATAGTTACTTAGGCTGAGATGGGCAGTATAGAAATATGATAAATAAACAAAACTATTCCTAAAATTATGCAGAGATAACAATGGGAACCAATACACCGGTTGCTCTATCAATGAGCAACTATTCTTGACTGAAAGAGAAATGAAAGATTGAAAAAAAAGACTAATTATACAACCTATTTCCCACACAATTACCCTTCCATGAACAAGACATGTATCATTGTTGTTTCCAGATAATGATATTAAGTTGTGCCACAAAAAGAAAGTACAATAATTCATATATTGAAATTCAAGATATGCAT